TTGCCTTTGATGAGGTAATCCTTCTTCCTCAGCTTCCCGAGATACTGGGATTACAGGTGTGCCAAAATGCACCCAGCTCATCCTTTCATTTTAAAATCTAGTTGTGCTATAGTTTTAAAGGGATTTATTTATTTTTTTGTATCTTTTTGCAGGCAATGTGTAATGGACTCTACTTTATCTTAATTAGGGTGATTAAATAACATCTGTCTAGAGTTTTTCTTTTTTACTTTTGTATTTTGCAGTCCAGAAGACGGAACCCAGGACCTCACACAAGCTGGACAGTGCTACAACCCCAGCCCTCTGTGGCTAGGCTGARATATACCATCTTTTGTTTGTTCTCTGTCTCCTGTGTTCCACTGTACTTCATTTTCTGACTGTCTTTGGATTGTTTTTTTAATATTCCTTTTATCTTATTTGTTAAATTTCTTAGCTATTATTCTTTGTTGTGTTTTTTTTGTTTGTTTGTTTTAAGATTTCTGGCGTACATTTTCAACTCTTCATTATTTACCATCAAGGGATACGATGCCACTTCACTTAGAACTTATAAGAGCACATACCTACTTCTCTTTTTCTAGTCTTTGTGTTATTTTGTCACACATTTTACTTCCACATATGTTATAAGCTCCAAAATGCAATGGTTTTTTTTGAACAGCTATGTTTCAAATAAATTAAATTAATAAAAAATTCTTTATATTTATTATTACGACCTCTGAGGCTCTCTTTAAATTATTATCTTTCTTTCTGAGATGGGAAAGGCACATCACTATATTGAAGTTGCTCAGGCTGGCCTTGCTCTCCTGGGTGCAAGTGGTTCTCCTGCCTTGGCCTCCCTAGTAGCTGGGGCTACAGGTGTGCACCCCTGCATCAGATTCTGGTATATTATTACTTTGTATAGATCCAGATTTCCATCTGGTAATATTTTACTTCTGCTTGAAGGATTTCTTTTAACCTTTCTTAGAGTGCAGTCTGTCAATCATGAATTATCCCAGCTCTTGTATGTCTGATCAAGTCTTTAACTTCATTTCTAACATCGTGGTGAGATACATGCGACATGTATCATCTTGACCACATTTTAGTGGCCAGTGGTGTCAGTGCMATCCTGTGACTTTGTGCCCATCACTATCATTCATCCCTGGAACTCTTTCATCTAGCAAAACTGAAAAGAAAACGTAGAATACTTCACAAATTTAATGCCATCTGTGCACTGATTTGTACTCCTTAGAGGAAAATTTAACTTCACTTTTCCATCTTTTTTTTTTTTTTTTTGGTGATGGTGAGGGAACGGGAATTGAACTTGAGGGTGCTCTAACACTGAGCAACATTCTCAGCCCTTTTAAAAAGTTTTATTTTGAGACAGGGCCTCACTAAGTTGCCAAGGCTGGCCTTGAAGTTGTGACCCTTCTGCCTCACCCTCCTGTGTCACTGTGAATTCAGGTGTGTGCACCTGTGTCCAGCTCAATATGGATTTTTTTCATATTYTCCTTGCACCTACCTTATCAGCTTCTTGAACATACAGAATAACTCATGGTCACTTTAATGTCCTTGTAGACTAGTTCTATCATTTGTCTTTTTTCACTAGGTTTCAAATGATCTTYCTCATTTGAAWTCATATTCTTGTGCCATTTTCATGCCTGATAATTTTTTTAATGGATGCTAGACATTGTGGATTGGACTTTATTGGGTATCGAGTATTTTGCCTTTCTATMAATAGGTTTGAGCTCGCTTTGGGACATGGTTAAATTACACGGGAGACAGTTTATTTTTCTGTCTCACATGAAAGTGTTGCGAGGCAGAAGCACAGTGTCATTTGGTCTAGTTCAGATGGTTCTCCTTTTACTGAGACAGAGTGCTTCTCTGTGTTCTAACAGGTGGTCCGTGGATTATGAGGTTTCTCATTCAGGTTGGTGGCCACAGACACCATTCTTGGCCTGAAYGAGCTCCTCAAACATTTTGCCCCTSGCTTTGGGTAGTTTCCTCATGTGAACAACCTTTTCAGTCTTTTGCTGAGTTCTCAAGGGGACCTTTCACAGGTCTCTGGCGTCCTTTCTCTGTGCAGCTAGCTGCTTTTTGGAGCTCCAGTCACCCTTTGGCCTCTGTGAACTTCTAGGTCTTTCAAGGAGAGCTCCCGGTTCTACCTGAGGTCACCCTTCCTGTGTGGTGGCCTTTAAGCTTTCTCAGGGAGTACCCTGGGGACAGTCTCACTGTTCATCTTATGAATTTCCCTTCCAATGGGATCACTGTCTGTTGCCTGATGTCCAATGTCATGTCTATGATTTTTTCCAACAGTTTACCCAGACTTTAGTGGGAGAGTGAATCYGGCCTCTGTTGCTGCTTTGGCAGARRTCACCTCTAAGCATTTTGTTATTGTATATGTTCTCGCCTTTTCCTTGGCATCTTCKAATTGGATTTTGTTTGTATATATAAAGGTTATTGATTTATGTTTGTTGGTTTTATAATTTGCTACATTATCTTGTTTGTAATAGCTTAGTGTTGATTCAATTCAGTTTTCCAGAAACCACATCATCTGTAAAGAGAGTTTGCCCACTTTCTTTATCATTATTATGCTATTGGTTGCTTTCTCTTTCTAAAGACATTGACAATAGTTCAACACAGTGATAAACAACTTTAGAAATGGTGGGCATGACTTTGAAGACTATTTGAATGCTCTAGCAGGTCTACCTCTTTGAATCCTCCTATTYTGGAAGGGCCCAGGGGCCATCCCTGTGCCTCTTGAATGGTGGGCAGCTTGGGGTCTCCAATTCTCTGTTCCTAGTTCTCTTCATTACTTTTGCTTTGTTTAACCCCCATTTTCAAAATGTGTAAAGGATGCATAAAATGCAATCCTTTGTGATCYTGCAAACTCTGTAAATTGGCTGGGTGTAAATTTGAGGTTGGAAATGCTTTTCCCTGAGACTTTGGAAGGCACAGGCAGTAGCCCTTGTCTTYGGGTACTCAACACTGCCCTTAGTCATCTCCTCCTGATCTCATTCTCGACACTTTCTTATAATGTGGATTTTAATTTCCAATTCCTAAAAATGATAAGACCTTTTCTTAGTCCTCAAATGCTGTCTATATTCTCTTTGTTTTATCCATGGCCTTAAGTTCTGAGAACCTAAAGATTAAAAAGTTCTGTTGGAATATATGTTTCTATAATTCCTTTAAATTATTCCACTCATTTAAAAAATATAATTATCAATTTACCAACATAAACAAGGCCGAGTGAGCTAAGTGCTCTGCTTCCAGGCCTTTGTGGATACTGTTTTGAGTCTCACGAGCTTTATCTTCAGCCATGATTGACTTAGCCAGGCCCAAATTTAAGAATTCAAGAATTTAAGAAATATAGGGATATACAATCTACATCAAAATATGCAATCCTTACTGAACAGACACTTCTCAGAGAGGATATACAATCAATCAACAAATACATGAAAAAATGTTTAACATGTCTAACAATTAGAGAAATGCAAATCAAAACCACTCTAATATTTCATCTCACTGCAGTCAGAATGGCAGCTATTAAGAATACAGACAACAATAAGTGTTGGTGAAGATGTGGGGAAAAAAGACACACTCATACATTGCTGGTTGGACTGCAAATTGGAAAGCAGTATGGAGATTCGATGGAAAACTTGGAATGGAACCACTATTTGACCCAGCTATCCCACTCCTCAGTCTCTACCCAAAGGACTTAAAAACAGCATACTACAGGGACACAGCCACATCAATGTTTATAGCAGCACAATTCACAATAGCTAAACTGTGGAAGCAACCTAGATGCCCTTCAAAAGATGAATGGATAAAAAATGTGGCATTTATACACAATGGAATATTACTCAGCAATAAAAGAGAATAAAATCATGGCATTTGCAGGTAAATGGATGGTGTTGGGGAAGATATTGCTAAGTGAAGTTAGCCAATCCCCCTAAAACAAATCCAAATGTTTTCTCTGATGTAAGGATGCTGACTCATAATGGGAGTGGGGGGGTGAGCATGGGAGGAATAGACAAACTCTAGATAGGGCAAAGGGGAGGGAGGGAAAGGGAGGGGAAATGGGGGTAGGAAATATGGTAGAAAGAGATGGACATCATTACTCTAAATGCATGTATGAAGACATGAATGGTGTAACTCTATGTTGTGTACAACCAGAGATATGAAAAATTGTGCTCTCTATATGTAATATGAATTGAAATACATTCTGTTGTCAAATGTAACAAATTAGAATAAATTTTAAAAAATGAATATGATGCAACTGTTATCTCCATCATCTGAGGAATATACTTCTTATAGCACCATTTAACAAATAGGGAAAAAGATGTTAAGTTTTACACTGACTGACGAATATGTAGTAGGCACTCCAAAATATTTCTGAATGTTGTTAAATGAAAAGCCTACATGTTTTATTTGTTTTGTTGTTTTTTTGAAAAATACTTGAATATGAAAAAAGTGCAATCCTTATAATTTTCAATCTCAGTAATTATATCATTTATATCATACGGGAATCTATGATTTGATGCTTTTAAGATGATATTCTAAAGTTTAATTAGTTGTAATATCCCAAATACTAATCATATGTACTAACTAATGTGCAGCAGGAACTCTTCTGAGTGTTTTATATTCATAAATACATTGACATTTATAATCCTTACAACAAATCTTYGAGATGGATACTATTATTATCCCTATCCTACCTATCCTACAGATGAGGCATAGAGAATTGAAGAATCTCATTTCAGTTTGTAAATGGCAGAGCTAAAAGTGGAACCCGGGCTACCTGGCCCTGGAGCCTGTACTTTAGCGCAACCTATTCATGAGCCTTTAGGAGTGGCAAGATTCAGAAGGTCAAGACTCTGATTATATTTCAGCTCCGTCACCGGGACCCTCCACTGTCCTCCTCATCTGTCCCCAGCCTTGACACAAGAGCTAACAAAGAGGGCTGAGCTCCCAGGGCTTGTGACTTTTCTAGGAACAACTTATCTAGAGCTCTAGGGATCTGGACTTACTACGCACAAGTATCAGGGTGCCTGGTCCAGACTTCACTTCCACGTTGCCATCGCTTATTGTCCTGAGCATCAAGCAGTAGTAGGTGCCAGCGTCTGCGAGGGTGAGGTTGCTGATGCGGATGGAAAAGTCCGTGTTGTTTGTCGTTGTGACGTCTGACATACTTGTTATCCGAGAGAAGTGACCTTCTTCGAAACTGTAGAYCAACTGCCGGTCCCGTTCAGTGCCCTTGAACCACTTAATGGACCTCACAGGGAGCAGGGAGGTCACAATGCACCGCAGAGAGGCTGACTGTCCTGCTGCTACAGACACCGACTTCACAGGTTGAATCACCTGTGGCTCCTCCTCACCTGCCACTCCTACAAGGAAACACAACTCGGTCACTCTTTTTTATTTATTTTTTTTGTGGTGTTGGGGATTAGAACCCAGGACCTTGTGCATGCCCGAGTCAGCTGTGGGAAGAAGGGAGGGGACAGGCAGGAGAAAGGCTCATATCAATCATGTTGTTGTAAGATGCTGGGATTCTGGGAGAYATGGTCTAAAGAGCACCATTTACCATTTTTTTTTCTAACAGTCCACATTCCATGTATAGTTCTGGTGATTCTCCCTCTCTCTCCATCCACCTGTCCCCTGCAAGCCCTGGGTGCCATGGTCTTCAGCAGGACCAAGAAGTCAGCTGCCACCCCTCTCCCTCCTCCCTTGGAAGGGCACTGGGTCCTGCCCATCAAGCACATGGGGGTCATGAAGCCTTTAGAGGGGGTCAGGAGTGCAGGAGAGGAGGGGCTGGGACCTGCCATTGAGGGAGGAGGCCTGGGCGGGACCCCTCCAATCAATGAGCATCTGGCAGGGTTGGCGGAGGGAGGTGTCTCAAAGAGAAAGGGGCAGCAGGGAAAGAGGCCCTGGAACAGAGATCCATCTGCCCCGTGGCCAGTGCTCACCTGAGAGCGCCAGCAGCAGAGGCAGCAGCAGGGGCACCAGAGGCAGGCGGGGCCGCGAGGYAGGGGTGGGCATCATCTGCTCCTAGAGCCTCCTGTCCGAGGAKGCTCCAGACTCCCTGCTCCTTGGAAAGAGGCGGTATCTGTCTTCGGTGAAATAAGAGGAAGTACCGGAGGGAAGGGCTGTGGGATCCTGGCACTTCCTGCTGGTGGACTGTGAAATGGGAACTAGGCACMAGCTCAGAAGTGACTGATGTCAGAGTCCCCAGGCGCTTGCAGAGGCTCCAGGGGACTCCTCTAGCACCCAGGCTCTGTGCCTGGACCCCTCGATTTCTACGAGAGGGGCACCCATGGCCATTCCTCATGAGGGACCCTGGAGGCAGTCAGGCCTGGTGGAGGGCGTGTGTGGTCTGTGTGACAGGCTACCCCTGGGCACAGGTGAGCTGCAGAGCTGGGGTCAGGAGGAAGGCTCCTGGGCATGGGGCCTCCAGAACCAGGTCCTCCTTCTCTCCTCCCCAGAGGTGCCAGGATAAAAGAGCTYGTGTCTGACGGGGGCTGTGTTTGGGCAGAGTCTCCTTTTTGAGGAAGTGGCTTTGGGTGAGGTGTATGGAATTAGACCTTGGGAGTAGGAGGGAGGTTTCTGTTCTAGAAGAGTCAGGGTGGCGCCTGAGCCTCGGCTTGCTCACGCTGCAGGAGAGCTCATGCCCAGAATCAGCTGTGGGTGGCGAGGAGGGTGCCTTTCCTGGCCATCTAGGTCTGAAGCCAGCTCTGGGAGAAGGAGTGGAGGGGCCAGAAAACATCATCCCAAGAACAGACTTCCTCTTTCAATGTACTTTTGAGCAGCAGCAGGCATACAGCAGTGTGCCCGGAGCCGCAGCCTAGTGCCAGACGTAGCCTCCCGTGACTCAGTTTCCCCACTGCTCCCAAGCCCTGCCTCCTTCGCAGTGGCTGACCCTAGGCTGGGATGGGAAGGGGCAGGACCTCAGGGCCAGAGGGAGGATCTGATTGCTCTTCGGCAGACACTGGTGTTTTCACAGTGGCCAGGACATCTCCATGCCTGGCTTCCTACTTGGCATCTACAAAACAAACTCACCTGCCATGTCCCTCTCACGCCTTCCTGGGTCCTTCCTGTGTCCCTATCTCAGCGTGTGACACCTGCTGCACCTCCCTTTCCACCGTCACCCCTGGCACGGACAGCCTCATCCACTTTCCCTGGGTCAGCCATCTGCTTACCCTGGGGTGGTCCTGTTAAAGGAGAAGTGTGATCACGTCACACTTTCAGTGGCTTCATGTCACTCTCTTTGGGTGGCTTCGCATTACTCTGAAACCCTTCTCTCGTCCCCACTGATTTGGCCCCGATCCTTTGCCAGCTGCACTCCAGCCTTCACTTATGTTTGGCCTCAGCTCCACTGACCTCTCTGCGGGCACTCGAAGTCCCCACTGTCCTCCTCTCTTTCTTCCTTAGGTCTGAGGCCACTGGATCTCCTGGGGATCGTCCTCCTCCTTCTCCCCCTTCCCCCTAGCATCCTTGGCAGAGTCTGTACTCACCATTTGTATTTCATACTAGTCTTGCTTGAGGAGCACACAGCTTAGTGAGAACAGGGCGTGGTCTTCTCTGTTCTCCGCTGAGGATGCTCAACAGGTGTTTCTGAACCAGGAGAGGGTGTGGATGGAGGAGGTGGGTCCCTGGGGGCGTGCCTTGGGTTTATGTTTTGTCCTGGCATGAAGACACTTTACCTGCTTCCTGATTGCCACATCCTGAGCTGCTCTCCTCTGCTGTGCCCTTCCACCACGATGCCCGGCCTCACCTCTGGCCCACAGCTATGGAGTTGGCCGTCTAGGGACTGAGACCTCTGAAACCAGGAGCCAAATAATCTTTTTCTCCTCTAATTGTTCTTGTCAGGTCTTTTGGCCACAGCAATGAAAAAAATCTGACTAAAGCCAGGAATCCCAACACTCACTAACCACCACAGCAGTGGGCCACAAGCCAGCTCATCCCTGACCCCACCTCTGTGAGGCCAGAGGCCACCCCTCCCATGGATTCTGATCCTCTCCTTCTTCTGGGAGACCCTTTTGCAAAGCTTTGCTCAAGCTCTGCTTCCTTCTTCACCACGCAGAGCTGTTTAGTGGACTTCAGGAGATTCCCGGAGGACTACCTAARACAGAATTGGGTGTTCCCCTCTTCCAGATGAAACGTGGCACYCTTGGGCCCTTCTTGGACTGGCTTCTTCCCCTAACCTTAGCCTGATCCTTGTCACTCTTGCCTGTGTCCTTGTGCCTCCAGGTTCTCCTCAGCCCTCTGTTTCCTGCAGAATGAAGGCTGAGACTCCATCACCAGAAGCAACCTGTGGCCTAGGAGGAGAATCACAAGAGCAAGGGAGGCAAGAAGAGTTGTCAGAGGTCACACAGGAACCCCTCCTCACTGTCCCATCTGAGTCACTGAGGCCCATCGTGGTGACAACTATTCCTGCTGCACAGYGCACCCTCCCTGGCGCAGAAACCTGAGGCAGGAGCCCAGGAAAACATGCATCTCACCCTCCTCCACCATTAGTTACCTTGCACACCTTGCTYGCTCCCAGCATAGTCACATGACATGGTTTATTATCTCCATGTTGGTTAGGAAACTGAGGCTCAGAGATTGTAGGGTCACAAGGTGGTGAGACTGGAACCCACATGTCCATTCCTGCTGTCCCTCTAGATACAGGACAGGAGACCCAGACACCCAGACACTGGGAACCTGGCCCAGAAACCAGGGAGAACAACATCAGGGCATAGGAGCATGTCTACCCTGGTAGTAAGTGGCATCTAGACATTCGCCTATCGGGAGAGCTCAAGGCTGACTTGCTGCGCACCAGGACCTGGGTTCATGCAGGAAATGAGGAAACTTTAGAAACCTCTGGGCAAGAAATCATTAAGAGCATTCAAGGAAACACGGACTCACTGGTCTGGTAGGAGTCTCAAACATTCTCTAGTCCTCCTCATTGCCAGTACCCCAAATCGACTTTGTGGGTACATGAAGCCTTAAAAGTATATATAGCAGATCATAAATAGGAGCTCTCTCCGCAGAGTTGAATTGGATGTAATTTATTTATTTTTTTTWAAATTTAGTTGTCAATAAAACTTTTATTTATGTATTTATGTATTTATTTATTTAGATGGAGCACTGAGAATCGAAGCCAGTGCCTCACACATGCCAGGCAAATGCTGTACCACTGAGCCACAACCCCAGCTCTTGAATTTTAATATTTAGTTTTTAATAGATAATTACACAATTTTGGATTGTGTGTGTGTGTGTGTGTGTGTATGCTTGTGTGTGAGTGAAAAGAGCAAGCAAATGAATGAAAGAGCAAAAGTGAGAGTGTTGTGTATTCATGAAAGAGAGAGAAAAAGAGAGAGAGAGAGAGAGGGAGGAAGAGGGGGCAGAGAGGGCACTGCAGGATTTGCTGTCATAATGTAAATTTCATGTTGGAGAAGAAAGTCTTGAAGAAAGATGATGTAGGCTCTTCAAATAAATCACAGAGGCCTTGCCATTGGCCTGGTGAGCAGAAGCCCAAAGTGTCCTTTTTGCAGAGACCTTCTGCTGCCCATCTTGTTCCACCTGGCAGGTGAGGGCAATGTCCTCCACGTGGTCAGTTTTCTTCCCTGGGATGAAGCTCTGCTTGCTGCATAGTCCGTCACTGCCTTTGGTGGGGATTAGAGTCTCATCTGTCTGGGAGACATTTCCATTCTTCTGCCAGGACCGCTGTGTATTCTGGGGCTAGAACTTCTTTGCCTCTTGTCCTTTGAGATGGGTTTGAAAAATAGACATTGTTGGTGAAACGGAAATAGCTCAGGACAAATGCTCAGACTTCATGAAATATCAGATTCACCTTGCTCACTACTTGGTGGCCATTTACTTGCCACCTGCCTCGCCTGGTGACAGTCCTTAGCACATGCATGAGCTCATCCAACTCAGCATTTCTATGAAGAGGGTGCTGCAGGCTCAGTGTGGCCCACACTGCAGATGGCATGAGAGCCAACATACTAATGTAGATATTGTTGTTTTTGGCAGATGGCAGTTATTCAATGAATGGGAGTCATGATTATTGAGGTAATAATACACCAGGCCAAGTAGGAGTCATACTCACCAATAATAGACACTTGGGTGCCCTGACCTGATTAGTACTCTGTGTCACTTAGCATCTGCAAGAGATTTCACTGATATAAATGGAAAAAGTCTGTGCTGTTGGGTTTGTTGRTGTCTCCAATTGCTTTGACTAAAGGAATGTGGCCTTTCTGGAAATTGTAGGTTGATTCTGGGGTTGGATCAGATCCCTTGAATCGTGRGACAGGCTCCATTTGGGATTGGAACTGGCATGTTGCAATCCACRGTGATTGTCTCTCTAGGTGACATGGTCTGTACCATCTCAGTTTGTTGCACCTCGAACACCTTGTCTGTGATTTCTGGAAAGAAATGAAAATMATTTCTCATGGCTTGGATGCAGGTCATGTTTGGGTCTTGTACCTTCCTTCTATTACTGACATGCACGCATGCCCACACTAAGAACAGAARAACCTAAACCCTCAGTGCTGCAAGAGGGGCATCGGTCCACTTCCTCAGTTCCGTTTCTCAGTCCTGGCCACGTAAGAGGGAGGCACAGGAAGCGTGGGGCCATCGGGCTGGGTTAGTGTTCACTGAGAGACACGAGTCGCTTTACTCATCCAGAAGTCAGAACTTATTCAAGTTTGGAGGTGGGTGCCACTGTCATTCTGCCACTTCACTCCTCCAGTGAGTTTGGAAGTGACTTCATCTGTCCTCAGAATCTGTGCAGAGATTAGTGCTTAGAGAAGTCAAGAGATAGCACACGGAAAGATGTGGTCACTGTTCCCATGCACAGCCCCACTGCTCATCTCTTTAAGAGGGRAGAGAGGGACAGTTTGCTTTCATGAAGAATAAYWGAGTWGAGCTGGGCTCAGTGGCACATRCCTGTGWTTCCAGGCACCCAGCGACTTGGGAGGCTGAGGCAGGAGARTGGTGAGTTCAAAGCCAGCYTCAGCAATTTAGCAAGGAYCTTGGTAACTTAGTGAGACTCCATC